GGTAAAAATGCACTTTGCAAAGAATACCCTACCATGAGCAAGGAAAATAAATAAAAACTGTATTTTTGCTTGCACATGATTGGATGATGGAAGTCAGCAGAGATTTACCTCATTCACTAAGCTAAAGGGAATATTCCTTTCCAAAGTGCAAATTCTCTTGCAAAGGGCAGCTTATTTTCGCTTAACCACTTCAAGACCAGGTGTTTAGACCCCCTTCCTGGCCAGGCCATTTTTCAGTATTCAGCGCTGCGGTACTTTGACTGACGTTTATTCCGTCATGCAACGCTGTACTGAAATGAATTTTATACAATTTTTTGGGGACAGATAGGGCTTTCTTTTGGTGGTATTTAAACACCACTGGGGTTTTTATTTTTTATTATAATTAGGAAAAATTACAGAAAATTTTGGGAAAAAAAAGTGTTAGAGGGGGGGGACGGGACCGATCGGCACTCCATACATGCACCCCATACATCGCTGCCTGTTTTAAAATTTTGGCCATTTCCCGCTCGGCGCGCGGGGGGGCGTGTCTGAGCGGACGTCTAAAGACGCCCGCTCAGATCTAGAGAGCTCGGGCCGGCCGTTTTTTTACTACGGCCGGCCCGGAGGTGGTTAATAAATCAACCCCATAGTTTAAATGGGCCATAAACAACAAACCAAAAATTCTCCAAGTTTCTAATTCCTTTAAAGTGCCAGCTCTTCTTTAATAGACCATCATGTTCCCCCTTTCTCTGTACTACCTTATCTATTCAGCCATATTTTGTCGCATGCTGCAAAATTTTGCTGAAATAAACTAAAGAACAAATAATACAGTAAGTTATTCCATTTTCATTGTACTGGATTTACTGATGCTAATTACCGAGTTTGTGCTTTGTTGTCTCTGACTCATATATTTTCTTTGGTTTTCCTCTGAAACAAGATTTTTTGTAAGCAACAGAAACAGACAAAATTAATTTGTGACAAAACTACAACTGAATTCTTTTCCAAGAAAATTATATGTTTACAACAACAAACCATTTTACTATAGTGATAGGCATATATAGTGAGACACATTAATTAATCTTATAATAATCTGTTCTTGGGGACAATTAAAATATATTTTGCAATTTAAGTTTGCCATATCAACTTCATGGATCATATTAAGATGAAAAAAAAGACAATTGCACGGGACTCACTTGGTAATGGTCAAACTAGAAAAAATGGTACATGCATGAATCTATAACCAGCCTTTATAGCAGGGCGCACATTGGGAAGGCTTACAACAATACAAAACACAAAAATTCCCCAGCCTCAACCTGCCAGCCAGCCTGTACACCTGCATGTAATTTATCAACTTCATTAATATGCTCACACTTGGAGACTCGGATACATAGAGTTAGGACCACACTTTGCAGAGGTGCCTTGGTGCGGCAGTGTGGCTTCTACATATTTTTGGCCAAAAGCTTGTGCAACTAAAACCTCTGATTTTAACGCATACTGATGACAGGGCTACTTGTTTGGTTGCAGGCTGGCTGGCAGGTTGAGGCTGGGGAATTTTTGTGTTTCACTTGGGAATGGGACCCACATGAGATCTTCTAATAAAATTATTGGCCAGTATTATCCACTCTTGCAATTCATATTTGCGGTCCAATAGATTTTTATAAATTTTTTACGGCAGAATTCTTAACTGTCATTAAAGGAATATAATTTGGTATAAAATGTTTACAGCAAATGGAATAATATGTATTTTACTATCAAACAGAAAGGATAGCAGAAATCCCAGGGTAACACCACCCATATAAAAAAGCATTATAATTTGGCTCAATTTACTGAAGCCTTTTACAGATACATTGTAGCCCTTACATTATTAAATACACCATTATTGTTTCCTAAAGGAACACGTGTTGCACGACAACTTTTCATTATATTTAATATCTATTGTTTTTCTGTCTATCCCGGTGGCTTATCTAGCTTTTCAGTGGCCCTGGAGCATATTATGGGCCTTGTTTTGGCAAGTTCTAAGCTGCTGTGTATCATTAAGTAGTAGGAACTAATCACTGTATCTAGTTCCCTCTTCATATATTCTCATTCCTCTCTTGGTTCACAGTATGACATATGGTTTAAGTTACTGCTAATTTGAAAGCCAAGTTAAGTCAGAATTTGCTTTTTGTTTCCAGAAAAAAAAGCCTGAGTTTGAGAAATTATCTTAGGTTCATACTTGGACTTTTCAAGTTTAAACACTTGATTTGTGTATTTTTCATCTATTAATATATACAGTATCTTACAAAACATTTAACCTAACAACTGAAATGCATTTTAAAATAATCAAGGTCATTGAATGTTACGATAAAACATTCATCAATGTCAACTTCCAACTGTGGCTCTAGAAGATTTGTTCAGGTCTTTCCAAAGCACCATGCTGCTATGCTTTAAAATAGCTGTTTATTTTGTTCTTCTTTGTGGCTACATCCAATTTGGAACTGAGCATTTAGACTGAAACCAGGTTTAGAATGGATGAAAATTAAGTCATGTGAAAATAGGTACTGGTGTGCTTACATATTTTTTGGCTACTAAAGTGGTTGTGACCCTTTGGTATGAGTCCCACTCTGTATTAAAGAGACTGTGTATAGAAGAGACTATTTCACTTATTTCCACACTTACGTATTGCTCTCCTACTTTAAATTGTAGGACAATGGAAGCCTCTATAGAATAAAAGCCCTCATAAATCCATTTGGCATTTAAGTATTACATTACTTCCAGGACAAATATAAAATCATAGCAAGAAAAGATATTCACTGTTTTAAGCCATTTCTGGTAATGTTTTAAATCTCAAGATGGATATAATATCTACAACATCTTTTTAAAATAATAAATTAACACTTCCCTGTAAGGTCCATTCCCTGTTCTTTTAACTTTTCTTTGGACAACTAATGTAATCTTCATAGATCATTGAGAATATGAATTGAGTGATAAATTGTTCCAAAATATTGCTACGCTACATTTATGTAAAGGAATTGCAAAGGGAGGTGTGTTAGAATGTAAAATAGGGCTCCAACGAACTAATCAATTAATCGATAATAATCGATAATGAGAATAGCCGTCAACTATTCTCATTATCGATTCGTTGGTTGGATCCCTTGGCTCTCTCCTCTATGCTGGGAGGAAAGCACAGCAAGCAGTGGGCGAGTGCAATAGCCAACCTGCTATTGGCTATTGCAATTTGAAATGGCCAATAGCATGCTGACTATTGCACCAGCCCACTACCTGCTGCATTTACATTCAGCTGCCATCTGAGGAATCTTGCCACTAGCAGCTGTCATTCCCTGGCTGCAGATATTCAAGCATCATATACTTACAATAATTTTTTTTTTAATTATAAAGGGTGGGAAAAAGCAATTTCAAAGTCACCCCAAATGGGCCTCCCTCCCACAGTGATCGTCTGCACTGGAATGCACGGTAACGCAATGCCATGTGCTCCAGTGCAGTGCGATTGCAATAAATTGTGCATGCATTTATTCTGTAGTAAACTTTGTTTGCAACACTGCATTTATGTTTTTTATTTTAAATTAAAGATGGTATTTATTACATTTTTTTATCCGATGAATCAATTAATCGAAAAAATGATCGACCAACTAATTGATTATGAAAATAATAATTAGTTGCAGCCCTAATGTAAAAGCATTTTGGGTTCAATTCCATTACTCCTTCTGCATGTTCACATTGTCAGGGAGTGTTGCAAAGACTGGAGCACAGCCAAGCATACTGTATGTATTGAGCAGACAATTCTCCATGAATAATTCTATAACTATCTTATGCAAAATAAATCTTCTTAGAGTGCTCCTTTGATGAAACCAATTTACTGATCTTTGTATTCTTCACATAAGTACATATTTCTTATAATTCTGTAAGCCAAGCTGTCCATTAACACATGAAAGGTTTTTATACTCTACGAGTTAACAATGATAACTAATTTGATAAGCAAAACATGTTCAAAAGATCACATAGTTCTACTTTTCATTTATCACCTTTCTTTCCTTTCCCCATTTATGCAGTCACTGTTACTCTTGCTTGAAGGGTAAAACCCTAACAATGAACTTTTCTTATTTGCTTCCTTCTGCTCTGTTAAATTTAACATTGACAGACGTTTGTTATATTTGTTTGATGAGTGCAAAAAAAATCTAATGAGCTGCTAACTTTCTGTACTCTCTCCCTCTGCTGCACTGCTATCAGCATTATTTCCACTAATCTCTGTGAACTTCAGAACACTTCTCCCCATGTCATGGAAATGAGAAAAGGGGGAGGTGTAGTCTTAATTAATTTTTTGTCCTAGGGTGACACCCCTGCTCCTCCATAGATACAATAGAGGGAGTGAGCTTTGTCACACTAGGACATGAAGGATGTCACTGACAGGATTTCCAGGTCAAATTAAAGGCACATAAGCCTGAAAAAGAAAACAAATGCATAAAAGGACTGGTAAGCTGCACTATATTGGAATTTTATTGTTGGGTTTAGATACACTTTACACTGTATAGTGCACATATTGTGTAGTCATACCAGACCATGGTGGTTATCACTGATATGGTTACCAAAACATTTTACTTATGAAGCTATAGCACCACTAATTGAAAATAACCGCTATTTTTCCAAAGCCTATTTTGAATTATTATTGATCATTTCTGTGCATATTTTCCAGCTATTAATGTTAGTTAAGCCATAATTCACTATATTTTATAATGGATAAATACTTTTTTTTGCCTAACTACTTACTACTATGGGTCATTTTTGTGTTATTGAAGCCGTGACATTAAACCCTCAGATTTTTTAACATAAACCAATACTGTAATGTGTGCCTTACTGTAATCCAAAATAGTGCAGGGTACAGAGAGAAGAGTCCAAAGGACTGTGAAAATAGTGCAATCCTAATAAATACTGTTTACATTTTAACTTAGCAGTACAGTATGATGCTTATTTATCCTCTGACAAACCTGAATAACCTCATCTGTCTCTTATATCCACTATTATAGCTACCTTGAAACGGAGACCTCAACTCAAACTGGGATGGCTATTATGCAAGTGGACTTGCTCAGTGGCTTCAAACTAGCTCCAGAGGGTATATTAATGAAATATCCCATTAAGAAAATAGAAGAAACTATGGATAGCAAAGTCAATATTTATTTTGATAATGTGAGTGGAATGACTATTTCCATATGTACAGTCTGTGATTGCATTTTATGTTTTTTTTGTTTTAAATAAAAATAAAAATTTGGAGGCTATTATTGCTGGCCTCAGTCTACAAATGTTGTTTCCTAAATCATGAATTTGAAACAAAAATAATGCCTTTACTCTGATTTTACTTATTTTATGATTTTTTTAAATGAGTTACTCAAAAAGTATTAAAGCCAGAAACAGTCAGGCAACAAGTATTTGCAGAAAGAGTGGCCAGAAATGGAAGCCCCTATATTTTTCTCAGTACTGTAAATATGTTATGTTATTTTTTAACAATATGTTTTTGCTAGTATTTGCTCTTTTAGCTACATTATTTTTTTTATATCTTAGATTAATCAAACAGAGGTATGTGTGGATATACCTGCTACCCGATATTCAAAGGTTGGCTACACTCAAGATGCTTTTGTAACTGTTATCGATTATTATGAGCCAGGTAAATGCCGCAGTGAATTTGTGTGTATGTGTTTATGTGTAATACACCTTATATTACTAGTGTTATCTCTTCAGACATTTAAAAAATAAAGATTAATAAATAAGTATTAGCAAAATTATGTGAGTAGAAATTAGTAAATTAATTTGGCAGGTTTAAGATCAAGGGCAGTTTGAACTGATTCTCTGACAATTGAGATCTCCAAATAATACCAGATCTGTCAGATCCTGGTCCATCTTTGTTTTCTGATCTTCCTTAAAATAAAAAATCAGGGGGTGTGGCTTTCTGATGCCTGCTATCAGTTGCACCTTTTGAGAGATCCTGAGTAGTGATGAGCCGAACACCCCCGTGTTCGGTTCTAACTCGAACTTTCGAACATGGAAAAAGATAGGGGTCAGCAAACCAAATGAAGTTCAGTCGCTGGTTATTCGCTGAACCCAGTGGGAAATCCACAAACCCCAATCATAGCGCTTGAACCTAATTAGAGCCACATTTTTTACATTTTGTTAAAAATCGGGTGACATGTAGAAATGCAAAACAAGTTTAAAAAATGTTCAGCAGAGAGTGGGTCTTTTTAAACAGCTTAAACAGCAATGTTAAAAATAAAAAAATAACTTGGTTGTGGATATCTTCAACCTGCACCTGATGTTACACAACAGTACAATGTATTCCTGCAAAAGTGAAATTGAAAAAAAATATAACACTGTTAAATGATAGATCGATCTCTGATCTGCTTTTTTATGTAAACGCATTGTAGGGTCCTTCCTAAAATCTTCACCAGAATCTTACCCACTGGATAAGGATCTGGTTTGGATTTTGAAGGGGGATCCCACACATTTTTCTGAAAGAAACAGTGAACATTCTTTACCAAAATCTTTACTATGCCTTTAAGAAAACAATGGCATGGAGTCCCTCTCAAAATCCGTACTAGACCCTTACTCCTGATGAGGTTCTGATATGGATTTTGAGGGGGGCCCCAGGCAAAAGAACAAACAAAAAGATGTAGACTCCCCCCCCCAAATATATACCAAACCCTTATCCAGGTATGCAGCCTGGCTGGCCAAGAAAAGTGACTGTCCCCATCCTGAAACACACCAGGCCACATGCCATCAAAAATTAGAAAGGTACTATGCAGGGAAGGGGAGCAAAGCTTCCCTCCCATGGCACTTTGTCCCCATGTTGATGGGGACAAAGGCCTTCCCTCTGGTGGATGTGGGGGTCTCCAGAGTATGTGAGGGTATTTTGGTCTAAACGCCCTATTTAAAAGGAGGCAATCTTAGATAGCTGACCCTTACCTCTATGTGAATGAGTACAGGGTACATAGTACCCCTTGTTACTCATTTACAAAAACAGTTAAATAGTAAAACACCCACATGGTAAAAAAAGTCCTTTGTTAAAAAAATAAATAAACAATGCCCCCAATGTAAATCCAACATCAATCACGCCATCCAGCTATGTATATACAATGTCAATCACAATGAATGACCCTCACCACAATGATCTTTCTGCACTGCTACTCCCTTTGCAAATGACAATTCCCTTGCCGGAATGTTAAGAAACTGTTTGGGGATCCCAGGCAACATAATTGACCAAATTGGCTATTGTTTGTGAGGGGAGTAGCATGGGAAGAAGAGACAATTTGTCGTGTAGGCTGGTCGTTGTTACATTGTAAATATGCTATATATGGTTAAATATACATGCTTTATATACTGTATATTTCTGGCTAAAGAAGGTGATTGATAATCATGTTAACCCTCATAGACAGTACTTCTTGGATGTAGCTTGAGACCACTTTTTGGGACATTGCCGACCTATGTAGCTGAATTTTTCAGTGTTTTTCTTTGCTTCCTTCTTTTTTACACCCTGTGACAATGACAATAATGAGGTCTGATGAACCCCAAACTGAGTAAGGACGGAGTAATCACATTGAGCAGTGACACCCATAATTTTCTAAAATTCATAATTCAGCGATCCAATTGTAGATTGAATAGTTCAGCTTCACACACAAGTAGAATTTGTAAATTCCATTACAACAGCTCAGCCATGGTCACAAGAATGCATGAAAAGTCATAAACCTCAAGAGCCAGTGGATTTTAATTAGGCCTGTTGTAAATTAGCATTTGTAAGACTTTATGTACACATGTGCACCAGCAAAAAATTTGTTTAGTTTGGGTTCGTTTTGATTCCGATTTTGCATTATTTCGTTTTTCGGGTTCGGGTCCGAAATTAAATTAGTTTCGGAATTCGGATTCGTCCGAAATTCATTAGCGTTAGTCCGGTCGAAATTTAGTTTTTTGGACGAAATTTGGTTTTTAGCGGTAGTCCGGTCGAAATTTCGTTTATGGATGAATTTTCGTTGCAGCAAAATGACATTAGGGGGGGAAAAAAATCGATTTTCTTTTTCTTTTTTTTTTAGTTTGCAGAAAAAAGCATGAGGTTCCCCCCAATTCATACCAGACCCTTTAGGGGTCGGAATGTTAGTAGGAATGTTGGTAGGAATGTTAGGAGGGACCCCCCCAAGTTAAAACACAAAAAAGTGCATGGGGTTCCCCCCAAAATCCCTACCAGACCCTTTAGGTCTGGTAGGAATTTTAAGGGGGAACCCCAGCCCCCCAAAATGGGGGGAAAAACATGGGGTCCCCCCTAACAGTCCTACTAGACCCTTGATCCGAGCACTGGCCTGGCAGGGTAGGAAAGGGGGGGGGCAATCGAGCGCCCCCCTCCCTGCGCCTTACTAGGCCACGTGCCCTCGGGATTGGGAGGGTGTCCCCATGCCGATGGGGACAAGGGTCTCTTCCCCACAACCCTGACACTGTGATTGTGGGGGTCTGAGGGGAAGGGGACTTATTTACCCCATATATTTCATGTCAGGAGATGAAAGCATGTTCCAGTGGACTTCCAGCAGTACACTTTTTTGTAAACTTGAGATGACTACTGTACTAACCACCTCCAGGCTGGGAGCTGCATGCTTCCATTTTATTACCTATTACCTTGTATTTACTGTAATTTTCTAGTCTACACTGTAAACCTCAATAAAGAACCTATTTTTTTTTTTAAATGTCAGAGGCCACATGCTCACAAAGCATACCAGTCTGGTTTGACATGTTTTTGAGCTTGTAAGCCCATAGCAAGATGGTAACAAGAATTTTGCCACAGCTATGTTAATACCATCCCTTGAGTATTTGGTTGGTAAATAATGAAGTGGGACCATAAAATGGGGCCCATTCCTAATGTACAGGCCTACAGCCTCCCGACTTTGTATTCACATACAGTATTTCTTTAATATGAGCAAGTTGTTCCCATCCAGTAGAGAGTGTTGTTAGAAATTAAAAGATCTACTCTGCTTTGGCTGGAAAAAAAAAATTTCAATTGATATCCAGTTATATTTCCTAAAGGATACTATAGGAATATATTAATTCAGGAAATTTACCTGACTGGAATTTAAAAATAATTTTATCCATAATAATTTTTAAGTTGATAACTCTTTACTTTTCCCTATTTTGTGAAAATATACACCGAAAAGATGTAAAATCTAAAAACATGTATGCAATCATCTTGAACCTTAACAAGTCAAACCTTACTCCTCATAGAATAAAAAGTGATATCTTGCTGTTACAAGTCATTCTGCTATCCAGCTATGCAAACAGCATCCTGTTTACTCACAGTTCCTCTAATTTTCTCTTCTGTTTTTGCGTTAATGTCACTGTATTAAGAATTTCATTTATTTTAGTTATAACTAAGATGCAAATTCCCTACACATCATTTATGTTTATAAATACATTGTAAGAGAAAAGGTCATGCACTAAAAGAGACACTGTCACCATAGACGCACAGCCTTTATAAGAGGCTGTGTTCCACAAGGTGAGGCTACACAGTAAAGATCTTCAGAGTGGGGCTGAAGCTAAGTATTTAACAGTGCTGAGTACACGGAGGCAGGGTAGGGGGACTATAAAGAACAACTTCATAAAAGTGAAGTTGTCCTTTACATCAAAATAGTTACAACAAAAGAGGGGAAAAAAGGTTTGTGGAGAGATAGATACAACCATTGCTTGTATAAAAATGAGATCAAAATTTATTAGACATACAAAAAATTGTGAATAAATAAGGTAAAATTGGATCTAATAAATTAAACATTCAAGAAATACATGCCCATTCGGTACAATCTCAGGCCAATAGCCTCCATGTTTATATATATGTACACATACAATAAAAATGCATGATAGTCCAAGATAAATAATCCAATTGCATAACTAACATGATTAACCCAATGGTCCTAAGTGTTCCATATTCAAGTGCAAAGCTGACATGATTGTCCTAGTAATCCCAACGCGTTTCGCAATTATAGCTTCTTCAGGGGATCGATAATTAGTAGTCATGCATAGGCAGTGCCTGAGATAAAACCAATTGTGAGGAGGATCGAGATACTTGGGTGGCTGGGAAACAGCCAACCACCACATCGCATCCTTCGTTGTGCCTGGGATCCCGGGGCATCAGGGGGAGGAGCTCCTGGAAAATATCAAGAAGGCCCAGTCTACCCTGCTGGGATGTTTGCTATAGGAGGCATATAGTAAGCAGTGGTCTCAATTCAGTGACGTAGTTGTCCTGATCACTCCGCCTATTAAATAAAGAGGATAGGATATTTCTAAAAATTATAGTCATGGGCCTAAATTCCTATATATCTCCACATTTTTGCTTCTCATCTAAATATATTTTTATTTTTATATATAATTGAAAGTGTATGTATTTGCCTTTGGCAATTGACGTGAGCCAGTCATTTAGTGGGTATATTCCATTCGGAACATCCCTGAGTCTAGTCTGTAGAGTGTGTTGATTTTCAACAATAGTATTGGGTCCTGTGAAATAAGTAATTTTGCTACAATCTGCTGTAACATAAAATTGCAGTTCATAAGTGTATGTGTACAAATAAGATCAGTGTTAGTGATAACCCTTAGTGGATTGCAATTGTAGCAAAAGCTGTCTATAGCATGTGTGTGTGAGATGTTTAATCAAATGGTATAAGGTATCATTTAGTGTTTCAACTGACCAGTATCAATCTTGCCAGTGAATCGTCCGCAACCTTGAGCAACAATGGTGACGTACTGTTAGTATAAGTGATGTACTTGTGTGTATATATATATATATGTGTATAAAGTAAATTTCAAGGAGAAATAGTATAAAACCACCTGTCGGGTGCTAATCCATTACCCCACAGTGCACCCTCCACTTAGTCTCTCTCCCATAAGGAAGAGCTATATATCCACATCAAAATAGTGCTAGATACATTTTCATTGGTTGCTATGACTTCTGCACATGGCAGTGTTTTATTGAATAAGACTAATGGCTAATTCGTGGTTTCATGCGTTGAAGCAGGCTGCATTAAGGCACTATATTTGGCAGTGCAGGCACTACAACATATGGCATGTACATTGTGGTGGCTGTAGTGCTGTTGTTTTACCCCCTATATACATATATACTGTGTATATACAGTATATATATATATATATACACAGACACATATGCATTGGATTTTATCCTAAATAAATAGCAGTGCAATGTAGCACACGCATATGGCTTATGTGTTATTGCCACTCCAGCCATGCAAATTTGAGTACTCTCTCACCACCACTGATATCTTTACCCAGGTTCAGAGTCTTTGACTATGTTGATAAGCTGATCAATGATGATGGAACTCTTGATTATGCACATAGGAATTAATTCAATCTGGCACCAAAGAATGCAGAGATTGTAAGCATGTGTGGCTCAGTGTAGAATCTTTAGAAACTTGCTATCAACTGGTAAGAGATAAAGAAAGGGTATTTTCTGCAATAAAAGCTTTCCTGCTTGCAAATTTCTTTTGATGGAAAAAAGAAACATGGCATTGCTTATATATTCTAATGCTTTGTGTTTTTTTAACAGGAAGAAGAACAGTGAAGAACTACAATTCAAAGGTTATGCAAAATCTATCTCCGTGTACATTCTGCAAAGATGACTGCAGAGCATGCAAAAATAACAGTCACAGCTTCCATCTATCAACGACCAAAATTCTTTCAAATGTGCTGCTGATGTTGTGTTATTTACTACTCTAAAGAAATCCAGAGTACATTATGAAGTGTGCTCTACAGGTGTACACTTTGTAGCAGATGCCCTTGACTTTGTTTCCTTGTAGTACCATGGTAGTAGTGTGTGAATCAATTGACAAAACGAGGGAACTAACCAAATCTGTAAATATTTGGATTTTCTGGGTACAGTATACTGTATGCATATGGATTTGTCCAATCTGGGTTAGAATATTACAGTCCATAAATCAGACAGGTCTGCATGTAAATATTCAGGGGAACAAAATTAAATTCTCCTGATTAAAGCTTTACTCTTTAGAAGCCATACTACAAGTATTGATGAGGTGAACCACACCAACTAGACAAAGATTGCACTTATAAGTTTAAGGTTTTCTTAAGGTTAAATATTTTTTTCATTATGTAGGATAGATAAACACCTTATTGGCTTCATGCCATTGTAAAGTATATAACGCAAGAGGTGCAGGCGGGAGGCAGCTGGGTGCCACATATGACACCATGTGCCACTAACTGAGGTTGGAAACAACTACAGCAGCTCTACATTATTTCCAAGGGTATGATGTGTTTTTTCTTTGACTTGCATGAAATATTTGTGTAAATGTCTTCCAAAGCAGAATGCAGTATTAGCAATATTAGGATTTTAAGGGTCAGTCCACCCAAAGGTGATATTAAACCACAGCTGAGGTCTCATGCTTTGGGTCACACATTGGTTTCTTATATCTTTTGGATCTTCAGAGGCAAGCTCTTCTCACCATACCTTCCTGCTTCTCACATATAAATCATAATACAGGTCTGACAGGGAAGCTGAGACTCGATGGGTAATTGTTCCCTGTAAGCATGCAGAGGTAGGAAATTAAGATCGGAAATCAGATCTCACTCATTCAGTTCATGATGAAAATTACAAAATGTTAGCGGAGGTTTCCAGCATCTACCAAAAGCTAGAATATCAGTTTTAAATGGACTGACCCTTTAAAATAAAATACTTATATGATATTGGCATTTAGTTCCAAAATCTTGTCAAAGAACGTTAAATAGGTCTTAATAATGGACATTTCATCTATAATTAGGATATTTTTTTCTAAAGGTGTCAGCTACAAGTGAGTTATAAGTCTACATGACTGAATTCAGGTCATGCTACAACATATAGCAACAGTATTTTTTTTCAAATAAATGATACCTTCATTAAAAGCAGTCCTTAAGCTCCAGTCAACTAAACTAGTCAAGGCTGGGAGAGTAATGTCATTGGTCTTCTGCAGGCAGAGAGAAAAGATCTTGCTGGAACTGTTGTAACATTGTATATTTGTGGCAGCAGGGGGTAATCCGTTATACACAATCAAGGACATAAAGACTACTCAAAAGACACCACCATTTACAAGATTATGTTGTGTATGGATCATCATCATAGTCCAGGAAGTAGGTGCTGACCTTGGATGATTCCTGAACAAACATAGCGTCAACCTTCTGGGCAGACAGAAAGATGGCATAGTATGTATGCACTTGTGTATGTCAGGGTAAAAATTTAAACATATGTCATAAATATCTGCAATGCTTGCACAATTCCCCTGTTGTATCTCTTTAAAGACCCTGCAAGAACAGAAAAATGTCTGCTGATCTGCTAGAAATGCTCTCATATTCATATTTGGTGCTGGCCACACAGCATTTTTGTGTACTTAGTAGAGCCAGCCCTGCCCATTTGTCTTATGTAAAACTACTAAATCCCACCACAACAGTCCACAACTTAAGCACTAATTGATCTGTGGTCCAGATGAAAACTGTGTGCTAGTTAGACTCCTTGTGATAACACAGAACATGTATACAAAAGACAGGACAGCTCTGATGTTTTGACAAGATCAATACAGGGCAATGAGTGCATTTTTTTGCACTTATTGCCAGATATAACAAAATGTTAAGGTTCATTGTTCAGGCTCTTCAACTTTCTAGAAATGTATCATTTAGGGCAATATAGAATCCTCTGAAATTTTGACCCCTTCAGTAAGCACCTGGTGCCTACCACTCTGCAACTCAGCAATTTACTATGAGGTGCTCCACACTGCATTGTTGGATGTTCTGTGGAGGTTCTTCACCAATGACTTTGCTGAATGAGGTAAAGGTATATTGCAGGCAGACCCATGTTTAGTGCTCTCTGCAGTGAGTAATTTTCTAGTAAATTATATTTAATGTATGCTATTTTAATCTGTAACTTTAGTAACACGTTAGCATCAGACTGGTGCTGTTTATTAACAAGCTAGGAAAGCTACATTAAAATATGAATAATTAGTTAAGATTACCTTTTGGCATGTTGCTACATGTTCATTTTTGCATTTATTCCTGTTTAGGCCTTGGGCAAACATTCACATTAATTCTTCTCACATCAGGCCCCGTTATCTAGAAAGCATTCTAATTGTGGCTTCAATACATTGGTGATTGGTGCTCTTCTGCCAAATCTTGAACAAATAAATAAAAAGCACGCTTCTGACAGATATAAATATATAACGTGCAGACCCTAGAGGTGCTGCTCAACTCCTGTAGAACATTTAATGCCCCCTCATCCCCCACATGCATTCCTCTTGAACCATCAATTTGATGGGCTGCCCCACAGATGTGTGGAAGGTGGAGAGAAGTCGGCAGAGTTCAGAACTACCAGGAAGCTTTGTCCAGTTAGAACAGTCCAGTGATCAGGCAGTGCAAGAGCACTAAAAAGCACTGCAGCGATTTCCAGACATTCTAGGAGTCAATATTGTATACCTGCCAGCACATTTTTTTGCAGTTAGAGACAGACAGGGTTATTCACAAACAGGTGAAGAGTTTGGAGAAGGCAGGAGAAGTGAACAATCTAGGCCAAAATAGCTGATCTGCAAAAAGTTTCCAATTCAGCTCACTTTAGACTTCAGCTATGTTGTCCGTAATTGTTCCCTTCTCCTGACTTCTCCAAACTCTTCACTCTTTTGTGAATAGCCCTGAGAGGCTCTTTAAACAACAAGTAAGCACTAATTATGATTACTGAATTGTGTTTTTTTTCCCCAAATCTTTTTGATTCAAAATGAGCAAAAATCAGTGTTTTGTGATTTTATTATAGTCAAGAGAATTTCAAATGCATGCATCCTGATCCTAGAGGTGTGTTAATACCGGTAGAGTTCTGTGGGCTCATTGGTTTCAGACTGTTCCATTTTAATAAAATAAAAATATCCCATGCTGTCTAGGCACTAACACAATAAAGTACTTAAAGTGAACAGTGGTGCCAATTCATATATAGTTTTCTTCTGCAAAGGTTGTGCATGTAAATGTTGATTTGTTAGCTTTTCATTCCCAGTATTGTACAACCTGATCATGTAGCTTGATTAAAGCCCAAAGAAGTCTCTGTTGAATAAAAAAGAAAAGCTAAGGTCCAAAGTGAACCATGCTAGTATATGAAGGTGGCTGTGCATATATAAAACCTGTTACTGGGTTTGTCATGGCACATGGAAAGGTTCCTTTGAAAAGTATAAGAAGACTTCTATATGAAATTGGGAAAGACTTAAGGAAGATGAGATTGGTGGTCCAGAATCTGTTGAAAACTGTATTGTACTTGTCTCTTTTTGGGATTTACACATTTATTTAACAAAATGACTGTTATGGTCATTTTAAACTGAGAAAAATTATTTTGACTTCAGCAGCATTCTAATTGTGGCTTCAATACATTGGTGATTGGTGCTCTTCTGCCAAATCTTGAACAAATAAATAAAAAGCACGCTTCTGACAGATATAAATATATAACGTGCAGACCCTAGAGGTGCTGCTCAACTCCTGTAGAACATTTAATGCCCCCTCATCCCCCACATGCATTCCTCTTGAACCATCAATTTGATGGGCTGCCCCACAGATGTGTGGAAGGTGGAGAGAAGTCGGCAGAGTTCAGAACTACCAGGAAGCTTTGTCCAGTTAGAACAGTCCAGTGATCAGGCAGTGCAAGAGCACTAAAAAGCACTGCAGCGATTTCCAGACATTCTAGGAGTCAATATTGTATACCTGCCAGCACATTTTTTTGCAGTTAGAGACAGACAGGGTTATTCACAAACAGGTGAAGAGTTTGGAGAAGGCAGGAGAAGTGAACAATCTAGGCCAAAATAGCTGATCTGCAAAAAGTTTCCAATTCAGCTCACTTTAGACTTCAGCTATGTTGTCCGTAATTGTTCCCTTCTCCTGACTTCTCCAAACTCTTCACTCTTTTGTGAATAGCCCTGAGAGGCTCTTTAAACAAGTAAGCACTAATTATGATTACTGAATTGTGTTTTTTTTCCCCAAATCTTTTTGATTCAAAATGAGCAAAAATCAGTGTTTTGTGATTTTATTATAGTCAAGAGAATTTCAAATGCATGCATCCTGATCCTAGAGGTGTGTTAATACCGGTAGAGTTCTGTGGGCTCATTGGTTTCAGACTGTTCCATTTTAATAAAATAAAAATATCCCATGCTGTCTAGGCACTAACACAATAAAGTACTTAAAGTGAACAGTGGTGCCAATTCATATATAGTTTTCTTCTGCAAAGGTTGTGCATGTAAATGTTGATTTGTTAGCTTTTCATTCCCAGTATTGTACAACCTGATCATGTAGCTTGATTAAAGCCCAAAGAAGTCTCTGTTGAATAAAAAAGAAAAGCTAAGGTCCAAAGTGAACCATGCTAGTATATGAAGGTGGCTGTGCATATATAAAACCTGTTACTGGGTTTGTCATGGCACATGGAAAGGTTCCTTTGAAAAGTATAAGAAGACTTCTATATGAAATTGGGAAAGACTTAAGGAAGATGAGATTGGTGGTCCAGAATCTGTTGAAAACTGTATTGTACTTGTCTCTTTTTGGGATTTACACATTTATTTAACAAAATGACTGTTATGGTCATTTTAAACTGAGAAAAATTATTTTGACTTCAGCCTTTTTAAGGTAGGGTCCTTTTGTGCTGCTTGCTTTGCCTTATTAAAATGCTGTTTTTTTAACTTATTTTTCTGTATTTTTTTTGCATTAGATTATGATATTGACCATTTCACGGCATGTCAAGAAAATGTAATGTTTACTTAGCACAATTTTTGCAGGTGATACAGAAAGCAAACTAAGGGCCCTGTTGTTCTCTAAACTGCTATTTTTTGTGCCATGAGCAGGATAAAGGATCCATGTGAAAGCATGTATTCC